TTTGAACATGATCCCAGCTCTTACAGTGAAAATGATTAAACCAATGGCATTAAGGCACCAGTCTGCTAATATATTAGTAACAATATGTAACTTTCACTTGTACAATTACTATTGATATTTCACACACACAACATATACATCGATTAGCCTGTCTTGTGTGACATTTCATGCGGTCTTGGTGGGGGTTGCCTGCTAGCGTGGGGGCCCCAAGTAATTGCTTAGTCTGCTAATGCTGCTTGCTGGCTCTCAGTTATATGTTTTCATCAAAATCAAATTTACTTGAAAAAGTGCACAAAAGAAATGTGGTTCCAGCTGTGATTAGCTAAAAAAGGACAGACCAGATACGTGCATGGCATATAAACCAAACTATACACGGGACACATAGTGCAGAGTAAGGCACTCACATACCGTATGGCAATTAAACCTGTTCTTAGTTTAAATATCTGAGGATGATAAAGATGGGGACTGCTGTTGTTAAGTTTGAGAAGAGCACATTTCCTCTCAGACCTGCAGTAGAAGGCACTCAGGTCAATAGGTCTTTGTTTGGATGCAGTGGGGGATGGTGTCCTGTAGTTTTCCAAAGTCTTGCAGGCCTCTCCATACTGATGGTCATGAGATGAGAGCCCCTTTACAGCATTTTTTTTCTTTCAAGGGTAGCTTCTTTTTGAAGCAGTTTGGTTTTTGGTTTAGCTTTTATTGTTAAAAATATTTGGCTTTTGTTTAGTATTAGATGTATTTATTTATTAATAAGATTCTTGTTAGGGGAAATATTTAAGGAATTCTGAATAGGTATTACAATTGGAATACAAAAGGTCTACTTGAAACTCACTTATGTAGACACACTAGTCAAAATAAATGTGTATGTATGCCTATTACATGCATGGACGGGTGGGAACATTTGACCAATGAGTAAATCTAGAAACATTTCCTGTTGGTACACAATAATGTTGTATTTTTTAATTTCAGTTAAATTATTAGTTAAAAAACAGCTTTATATTTTAGTGTAAGGTTTAATAATTTTGGCACACAGATCTTCGATGTTATTTGCCACGCCGTCAATACTTCGTCCAGGTTTTTGCACTGGTCAGCGCGTACGAAGCATGACTTCCAATACACACGCATCAGGGGAGTTAAATGATCCATTTAACTTTTACCGCAGAGCTGGTCTGCGCGCCAAAAAATTTAAAGTTGGAGGGAAGATAGTCGATTGGCTTTCTGGCTCCTCCTTTTTTACTTTTGACCCACTGACAGAAAGCAGTAACAGTAACAGCCAATCGACCGTCCTTCTTCCTTTTAGGCTCCATCGTGATTGTTTACAAACCAGGAGAGATCCACCAATAGTAATTAATTTTCTCTCACGACGTTTCTCTCAGGGCCAATCAGATAACAGCACTTTTATTCCAAACCCCAATGGCAGGTTAGGGCGGGACAAAGCGTGAGATTTATATAGAGGCTGTGAAGCGATTTCTTCTTCATCACTAGCAAACCAACGACTGCTGTGGTTCGATTCCGAAGAGCTATTTAAATAACAAACAATGTCTGGAAGAGGTAAAACTGGAGCAAAGGCACGTGCCAAGGCTAAGACCCGCAGCTCTCGCGCCGGTCTGCAGTTCCCCGTCGGCCGTGTCCACCGTCTTCTCCGCAAGGGAAACTACGCAGAGAGAGTTGGCGCCGGGGCCCCAGTTTACCTGGCCGCCGTCCTGGAGTACCTCACCGCTGAGATCCTGGAGTTGGCCGGCAATGCCGCCAGAGACAACAAGAAGACTCGTATCATCCCTCGCCACCTCCAGCTAGCTGTACGTAACGACGAGGAGCTGAACAAACTCCTCGGTGGCGTGACCATCGCACAGGGAGGCGTCCTGCCCAACATCCAGGCCGTCCTTCTGCCCAAGAAGACCGGCCAGTCTGCACCGAGCTCCGGCAAAGCGGGAAAGAAGGCCTCCTCTCAGTCACAGGAGTATTAGCTTGCTAGCTAATAACTCTTAACATCCAACGGTCCTTTTAAGGGCCACCCACTCCTAATTGAAAGAGCAACTTTTCCTGATTATTGCTGTCTTGCATCCCCTTTCGCATGATTTTTATTTAATAAAAAGTCTGTTTTGTAAGCACTGATGTATTCTGCTGATTTCAGGCTAATCGATGCTACTTGCTAGTTTTGGAGACCTGCTAGCCTGGCCGGTTGAGCTGAATTTATCAGACTGGTGGTCTCTAACCCCACTGATTACAACTCTCGACCTCACGGTATAATGTAACACTAGTCATTTACCAGGGCTTTGTTTCGTGACCGGGGGTTAACAACGAAAAAGGAAAACAAAAATGGCCTCCACTTATCAACATTTACAGCAGGTACACGGGCCAGAGCCTGAAACACCGGTTGCATTTCACCTTATTTGTAGCATGACTGAGCAGCTTTTGTGGTGACTGATTACAAATTACTTTTGGTTTGGCAGAAAGGGCTCTTTAGTATGCATTTGTGGCTGAAATAATGATCTATGTAGGCATATTGTATTATATGTATTGCATATTTCCATCTAAAGCATAACATGCTACAAATAATAATCTGAGTTTCAGCTCTCAAAGTGTTCATATGCACAGAGCAGTTTTAAATTTGTATCTATTTTGAAGGGTTTCCTGCACCACAATGACCAACAGACCTAACAGCCTCAACCAATGACCATATTTTTGGAGTAATAAGTAATGTCACTGTAAAGTGAAACGCACCCATCAGGAGGGGAAGATTATTTGCATACATGCTCTTTTTTTTTTATCCTGCATTAGTGTTCCTTGGGTATATGCCTGATAAATTGGAGCTCTAGTAACCTATTTCTAGAGTTAAGGTGGGGTGTTTTACCGGTTGTTTTACCATTTGTTTTGTATTTGCTTCCACCTTTATCTTTGCGTATGAGCGACCTGAATAATATGTTTGTTTGTTCAAAGTGTGGTTAAAACTTGAAAAACATGCCAACGGCTCTTTCTCCTTAAAGCTCCAGGTGTTTCCTTGTTACATGTGAAGAAACCGGCAGCTGCAGTTTACCAGCAGTGACGTCTGACCCAGTATGCACAGCTCCTGTGCAGCAGCCGTACCACTGAGAAATAATTTGAGTAATATATTTCATTATTCCGAAGCACAGAATATTTAGATGTTAGGCAGTAAATTATCTCCACATAGATCAGGGGTGACAGACATAAGGCCCGGGGACAGAACTGACCCAGCAGACTCACGCCCGACTCACTGGACAACTTTTGAAAATGTGAAGAAGGGCGAAATTTTAGTACCTTTAACTGTGTTTTCATACGTTTTACACAATCTACTATAGAAATTTCAGTTTTACAATCCACAGTTTAAAAAACAAAACAAAAAAGAGACATTTTCTGTGAATTAACACTTTTTTTGTTTTGTATTTACAGGACAGTCGGGGACTTTTCCTGCAGTTTTACACATTTTTTCTAACATTTCTAACAATTTAAGTAGAAGAATTCATTAAGTTGCTACAGTAGCATTTCTTTATCATGTAGAAAAACCAAGTCATACTATTGAAATCAGCCAGTTTCCCCCTCATATAAAGATATCTTAGGGATTAAATGTGTAGTTAAACTCAAAAATTTCTTTGGAACAAAAGTTGGCTTGCAGAATGAGTTTGACATCTTTGCCATATATCATAATTTATGAGCATTGATTGAAGATGTCTCAAATAGTGCATCACAACAAGACACCTGCTAACAGACAGTTGTTCATTCTGCTTTTCAAAGTGCTCAGAATACCTTTAATTCCCCATCAAGGAAAAAAAGTATTTGGCAGAAATTACACCAAAGTATAAAGGAGTCAGTGGAAACATGACATCTGGAGTGTAATTCCCAAATGCTGCCACTAGGGGTCACCATGTGATGTTTGAAAAAGTTCACAAAATGATTTGTGGCATAAACTGTGAATGTTGCCCATATGTGTTTTTATTTAACAGCTATTGAAGACAGATCACTGTCTGCGCTGACAGATGTGCACCATAAGCCATTTCATAACACGGAGGAAAGAAAGGATTTCAACTGTTACATAAAATAGTACGACATCTGAAAAAACACAGCTAAGCACTATTTTAAAGTGTCATTAGTATATGCCCAGCTATAATACATAATTAATCCTTTTGTGGGATTCATAACTGATAAAATGATTGGTTGTTTTATATCAGAGGTGGGGATGGATTACGTATTTTCTCATTAAACCTCAGTCGTGTGCAGCTAAAATCACCCGTAACCTTTCCACAGGACATATTTCAGTCTGCTTTGAGTGCTTTATAGCGGCAAAAGCAGCATGACGCACCAAGTTTGAGCCGAACCCAGGACAGGCTGAACCAATTACTCGTGCTTGACAACGTGTCCAACACCAACATCCAGGCTAAAAATTCCAGCTCAGAAGGAAAAACCCCGGTGTCCACTGGCTGTTATAACTATAATTTTCACAGTCTCTAAATTTACTGGTGATGCTCTTTTCAGCTGTTTGTGGCAAAAAAAAAAAAGATCTCTGGTAAAACAGTCATTTTGGTTGTTTCATGGAATTTGGTGGCTTTTCTTCTGCAAGTTTTGAAGTTTTGATTTTCATCATCCACAAAACACATCGTGCATGTTAATTACAGTTTGGTGAAGCTGTGACTGGAACAAAAGCAAATATCTAGACTGAGTCGGGGACACTGAAAAGAAGGGTTTTTCCAAGTTCATGGCTAATCTTTTGTTTATACAGCATCTGAAAAGTAATAGAGTTTTGATGTACTCAAGCTGCTGTGAAATAAACAGCTATATTTGTCTGAACATGAGAAAATCTTGGTATAAACAACAAATCTGTGAGAAACAAAATATACATGGACACAGAAGGACCTGCTTAATGAAGGGAAAGAGGAATGATGAGTGGGAAGAGGAAAAAAAAGAGGGCTGGAAAGAGGGGGGTTGGATCTGCTACAATAATGTTCAGACGCACCGAAACATTCACTTTGAAAGTTACTCAACAGCAGTGAAGATGCTCGAGAAAAGAACTGGAAGACTTTTCACATGAAAGCTTGGGAGGATGCCTCATCTTGTGGTTTTAATCTTTGGACTGAATCATACTGCAGAAGAGGAGATGTTCCTTTCAGGCTTGGGTATGGGAAAACCAAACTATTTATTTGACTGTTTGTATGTGTGTGTGGAAGGCAGAAGGGCATCACCAGGGTTTTGCGGCAGGTTACGCATCTTTGCATTATCTGTAAAGGCAGGCTTTTGATTTAAATGGGAGGCATGAGCAAGTGAAAGTCATCTGACAGGGAGAAAGATAGGAGCCAAACCCAGCTGGCTCTGAATGGACACTGGAAGGAGAGAGTTCCCAGGCTGTCTTTGGTGAAATAACAGTATGATGAGGTATTTCTCCGACATGCCTGTGAGGTGCAACTGTGCCTGAGTGAGTATAGCTTTCTTGCTATGAGGGAAATTTGTTTTTTGTATGTAAATAAGTATCTGATGAGTCCATACAGACATACTAAAAAAGCTGAAGAAGACAAGTGGACAGATGTCACACGTGAAGACAGTCCACTCCTCCAGTGGTTTTGTGGGCAACTCAAACTCTTTTGTGGAAATGTCTCTAATTTCCTGTTGTTCACTAGTTCATTTGGCTTTGTGCTTTTTCTGAGCATCATTTGACTAATTACATGATTTGAGCTGGTACTGTTTTTTCTCAGTGTGACTTGATTTGTTTCATTTTAGCCAATCAGGAGGTTTGAATGGCATTCTTGTGTGTGTGCATTATTGCTGTACAGCAGCAATGTTCTGATATTATTCCAAAAATGAGACCCAGTGTTTCCCATCACTCTACAAACAATTTGGGCTGCAGATGTTCTGTGATCACTCCACGATCACCGCCTCCTTCTGGATAGTATTTCCTGTCCTGAGCTGAGCCTCGCCAACCCCTCAACATGTGGCATCAGAATAATTACAGGTTACATTTAAGTTAAGGTTTGTCTAAAAGGAAATGTTTTGTTTTGTCCTGTCAGTGTTAAGGGAAGGGGTATGATTTATGCTTGGTCTGAGAGGAAGTAAAGAGCGAGACCCTCAATTTAAGGCAATGAAATCTGCGTTATGTGTAAGCTGCTTCTCATCAAGCTTCCAACACAGCCTGCATGAGTGTTGACTGCCTGAGCCCCCGCTTGCATAATTGTTGCCATCTTCACTGTTTCCACCTGCAGCCTAATGTCATCCTGCAGAGACCTGCAGACATCTGTTTCACAGTGTTTCACAGTGTGTAACTGCAGGGTTCACAAGCTGACTGATCCAAACCTCCTACCAGACAAGCAGTTCAGTATCTGTGGGAAATCACACACTCACAGCATAGCTTGTTTTGTACTTTTATTATTATCATCCCAGAATGCTCACAGCCAGGCTGAGATATCACTGCAGACAGTTCAGAAAGACTGAAAAGTTCATCTTCAACTTGCTTTGCCTGCCTAGACTTTTGTGCATCTGCAAGCTACTTTGTAACCCACCTCTCCACCAACTCCACTTTACCTGCTTCGTCTGACTTCATTTATATACTTTCCTCTATGAGAACTACACTGTGGTACTGGGCAGCATGGTGGCACAGTAGTTAGCAATGTTTTTCCCCTGCCTTACATAGTTCAGTGACATGCTGTTAGTAAGGTTAGGTTAACTACTGATTGTCAATCGGCCATAGGTGTGAATGGTTGATTGTCTCTCTTTCTTAGCCATGTGACATACCTGTGCAGGGTCAACCCCACCTGGTGCACCATGGCAGCTGGGATAGGCTCCTGCAATCCTGAATTGGATAAGTGGAAGTAAATGGATGGATGGTCTTTAGTCTATGTTTTAATAATTACTACTATCGTTATGGTAACTGCAGAACTGAAGAAGCCTCTCAGATGAAAGGTGAGACGTTTATTCTTTCCAAGCTCCTTAGATTATCTTCATGGCAGTGCTCCTTGATTAAAGTAATATATTGATATCCACTTGGGTACCTATCTATATAAGTAAGTAAGCAGCTATCTATTCTGTTAAAGAAAGATATGTGGAAACTCCTTAGCCCGCTAGATAACAGCATTCCCCATTTATCTTTCAGATGTTCCATTTTGTTAAATAATAAAGACTGCATTGTATTTAAAAATCACTTCCATCTGCTTGTTCACATGGATGGACAGCTATATGGGGATTTCCATTGTAATCACCATTTAAAGGTCATTCAGTAAACTTTACCCCCTCAGCTGTAGCCTCCACATGATCGCTGAGGACTCAAAACACAAACCTTATCTGCAGACTTCTGCAGTCTTCAATCCATCGGGTTACTAAGCTGCCTCTGTTTGTTTGTTTTCATTCTCCTCAGTGAGTCATCATCCGTCTCACTTCCTCCCTCTACTCTCTGGCCGCTGACCATGGGAAAAGCCTTGAGAGATCAATAGTGGAGGCTTTCTCCCACTCTCTTCTACTCTCTCTGTGTTTGTCTGTAAGCCAAATAGTTCCTGTGGGACGTCTGAAAAGATGCTCACATGTGTTCGCTCACTTCCTGTGGACCTTTCATATCGCTCTGCTCCATCATTACACAGTGGAAGCATTGTAATCCACCGTCGTCCATTTAGTTAGCGTTATCATAAAGTGTTGTTCGACAGTTTTCCAGAGTGGAAACACTTCTTTTGGAGTTCCTTGCATCAGCGGTCCAGAGCTCAGAGCAGGAAGTCAGAGGACACAAGGTCATTTCCATCACCACCTCCTACACTTTATGTTATTTCCTGCATGGGTCAGACTGTTAACACCTGCTTAACCCATAGACACTTTTAAGGAGACAGCCCCGCCTTGTGTGATTGGGCTGTGCGGTCCATTTGAACTTTCATTTAATGGAAAGCTCGTTGAGAGCCTGAACATTTCAACTATTCTCTCAGCAGGATGTGAACTCTGTGCAGAGCTAATTCTGGAGTGTTCTGAAACTGCATGTTCGGGTGAAGTTATTTACTCATAATTGCCAAAAAAAAAAGGAGAAGAAATCAATATGGAGGAATTGGGAGCATGTTTTGGAGGGCAGTGCCTGGTTCCCCTCTACTGTTTGTAACTGTAATTCTGCACCGGGATGGGCAGGAGAAGGGGTTGGGAGGAGGGAAATAGCAGAGGAACTCAGTGAGTGAATGAAAAAAGCAAGGAGCTAGACATACACAATAATGTGGACACTGCTCTATGTGCTAGCAACTGTCAGGCAAACCCATGGACCCAGCTTTTGTCTGGACTTAGCAAGAGTAAAGAGATGGTAAAAGCTGCCTGTCTGTCAGTGAAGTAAGTAAACACTTGGCTGTTTTCACCAGCACTGTTGTGCTAATATCTTCTCTTTGTATTATAACTATTTTATTTCATGTTTTTTATTGATCATTCCAGCTGTTAGATTTTCTGTGTATTCCTCTGATTTTTCATTGTTCACTCTAAACCAAAGTCATTTCTCTTTAAAAGTGGCAGCCCAGTCTGTGTGGCAGGCAAGTATCTATTTTCAGAAGCTTGTGGCAGCTCTGAAGGGCATAACTGCCTCCATAATGACAGGTTACTATGCGAGGCCCTGCATTCGCAAGCATTAAAACTGTTCCTCTGCCTGGGTGTGTACGTTAAATCACTGAGGCTTTTCGGAGCAGGAGCATATGTGTTTGTGTGTGTGAGTGTGTGAGTGAGGCAGACAGAGGCACATTAGCCTGCCCACTCTCCTGTCCTGTGTCTGACTGCGTGGCTCAAAGAGGCCCAGTGTTGACAGGCAGTGGGGCTGACAGCAGAGGCGCGAGGGGTCCTGTGTCAGTGACGAATAGAGGGGACGGTCTGTTCTTCGTGTCACTGGGTCCTCTGAGATTCGCACACTGGACGCGATTGTCAGACGTATGCGGTTTCGCCCAGCAGCCTTGCCTGGAGTGACATCAGACGCAGACTGAACGCCCTGTTGTGTAAAAACGGCGTGAGCTAAACTTGGAGCACGCTGGATATTTAAATGTTTTTTTAATTAATCAGTGATGACAACATAGGCCGACAAAGAGCTCAGGCCCTTAAAAAAGTGTCTGTGGGAATGACGTGTCTTCTGTGCACTATAACAAACACCGCAAGACATGTCACAGACTTTAAACCGAATCATTCAAGCACAGTGGCACTGGCGGCGTTGAGCTCTACTTTGAAATGTAAAACCAAGAGTCAAGCACGACACACAGCAGCTTTTCATCCTTGGGTAGACACAACAGACATTAGATAGTAAGGTAGTTGTGTCTACTCTAGTTTTGCTTAGATGCCCAGATGGCAAAACAAGTGATAGTAAAAGATGCGGATGGGAGCTTTTAGTGGAAATATGAGTGAGTCATCCGGGCTGCCTATGTGTTTGTGCGTGTTTGTTTGAGCCATGTCTAGTCCTCATGGCTTGTTGTAGCTCTCCTGTCTGACTGGAGGAAGACGAGCAGACAGCCGGCTCTAATCTGCAACATGTTTCTGCAGACAGTTTGGACTGTTTGTTTGTAAGATCACGGTGACTCACCACAGTCAGATGAAGCAGTCATCTGACCCCTGATGAGTAAAGCACCTGCAGAGCCAGCTCAAACCTTCTGCTATATATCCAAAGCACATCTCACATAAAATCTGTGGTTGCTATTGTTGTGTTTGTTGCTCTCATTCTCGAACGTTTTTTTTTTTTTTTTTTAAAGGCTGAGGCATTAATCAATAGCAGCTTTCTTGATGGATTGCTCTGTGTTTAGTTCTGAAGAAACAATTACTCTGTACAACGGTTTGGTCACATGGGCTTATAACTGGGACAGAAGGGTTTCTATGGAAAGCACTGTTCTCATTGTAGTACAACTGTAGTAGCAGTATTCCCAGCGCTCCCATTCATGCCCTGCCACTCTGTCTCTGCGCTTCAGGACCTTCATGAGTCGGATAACTCTGCCAGTCCAGCCGACATGGACCGCATGAGCAGGAATAAAGTGGAGCATGGGCGACAAACGCACCAGGTCTTACAGGTGAGGCATTTCTTCCTGCGGTGCCACTGACTATTTATAGCAGACACAAGTTGGATGTTAAGTTAAATTGTAACTCGTTTTACTAGCAGCATCTGTTGTAAGTCAGCTTTATTCGGCATTACTGAGAGGTTTACGCGTTTAAAAGCAGGAGCATAGCAGTAATATCAGCTTCACATCCATTAGTGCAAGCTTTCAGAGCAAGCATATCTGGTTTTATAGCACGAGACTATAAGTGTAGTAATGTAAGTGTGCTTTTGCTCTAACTTTTCTGACTTTCTTTCTACAACTCTTTATTTTTTAACAAATACGTCTGACTTTGCCAAATAAAATCAGTCATTATCCCATTAAAATAATCCCAGTGTCTCCCAGCTGCAGACAGACATCTGGGTTGTGCACGGATTTATTTCCAGCATCACAAAATGTAGCTGGCTATTGAACTAATGCCATGTACAACACATAAGAATTTGTCCATCTGTAAATCTTATTCATGGGAGGAAAAAAAAGCCACATTACTGGGTGAGGCCTGTAGTACAATCTAACTCAGGCTTAATTACATGCTATATGTTATATTGTGACACGCTGTTTACTTCATGCATACAGATCCAAATATTACCCACTACTTTTGTCTTAAACAGATCCTTATGCTGTGTAAAAATAACTCTGATGATGTTTTATTGTTTTAACAGAGCACTCCGCTCGACTTGATTGAAACAGGCAAATCCCTCAAAGTCCAGGCAGAGCGCCCCCACCTGGTCAGCCTGGGAAGTGGACGCCTGAGCACAGCCATCACTTTACTACCACTGCTGGAAGGTCACAACCCTTATGTGTGTGTGTGTGGTTTTGAGAATATATCTGTTTGGTTGACAGTTAGGGTCTCAACTGGAGAATTATAATCATAAGTGGAGTCTACTGTATTTTACCGACACTTCCTTAAGTGGAATTGCCAAACGTGAGGCAATTGTTCTTTAATAAGTAAGCAGCAGAGAATGTCAAGAGTAATGAAGTGACAGTGACTGATGACACACTAACTTCTGAGCGTGTTGTTGTTACTTGTACTGAGGCACACTTACAAATGCTGCCTGTGATTTCCTTGCACCATTTGTCTCTGTCTTCCCCCGAGCCTTAACATTTCACAGGAGAGAGAGGAGAGGCTGTGGCACCCCAGAGAAAAGAGGGGATTTGTGTGTATGTGTGTGTGCTCAATTTCCTCTGTGCTAAAATATCAATATAGTATGTGTTTGTGTCAGGCTATATTTACTGTACCTACAGACAAAATGTAACTGATAACCTAAGAACAACACACCAGGGTCAGCAGATGGGTGTATTAATTTCCACTGATGAGATCCCTGTTATCTGTCAGGCTAAACACACCTCCTGACACCTACACCTGTTATTTAACATGAGTTCATAAGCTGGTTCCATTTGTGACTCAACTCACATCATCACTGGCTTTGAACTGCAGGTCTAAGAATGTTTTACTAATGTATTTCGGACCACATGACTCTCCAAAATTATTGACAGATGTTTTTCTTTCTCGTTGCAGGGAAAACCACGCTGGGCAGTGAGGGGACAGATATCCCCCTGCAGGGCCCCGGCATCGCAGCTAAGCATTGCTACATTGAAAACCAGGCAGGCAACATCACCTTGTACCCATGTGGAAACCAGTGCTCAGCAGATGGCGTTCGCCTCACCAAACCTTATCGGCTTACTCAAGGTAGCACCGTCACAGGCTTAAGTAACTAAAATAACTGCTCTTTAACCTGTTTACCAGTTTTACCAAAATACAAAATATAAACCTGATGGTGACAGATTGAGTAGGGCAAACAGTTGCTTTTGCAGAGCCGCAATAGAAAATAATAAAATGTTGAGTATCCGAATGTCTAAATTAAGGCTACGTTGATAAAAACACTGCCAGGCGTCATGATGACAAAACAATTCCAAGCCCTTCCGGTAACATGCATAGTTGCTATATAAAAAAAAAAGACATTACAGTCCCACCCCCCTCAGTCCCCTCTCTATAAGATCCAAGCCAGCAGCTACACCAAAATGTCATTTGAAGCCGGTATGTGTGGAGGCAGCAGCTGCTGAACAAGAATACTTCAGGCTTTGCTTCATTCAAAGGACAACTGAAAAAGACGAGTACTCGTAAATGGAGGAAATGGCTTTGTTTATACATCATAAGGAACAATGATGCGGGTGTATGGACTCTAAAGGATCAGCTACATGTTAAACTTCGTGTGGAATATCAGTACAAAACTTCAGGAGTATCAGGGATTCTTGAAAGACTCCAGAAATGCAAACTACTGATGAGCAGCTGATTTCACTTACCGGTTAATTACATGTAAGTTGAACTAGTCAGCTCATGTTAGTTAACAAGTCAAAACTTTGTTTAGGAGGTTCAAACTCGGCATTTCATCATCAAAAAAGAAAGAAATCCTTATTTTACCACCTCATCTGTTTATGGTGGTTTGCAATCACACCTCACTCACACCTTCCAGCGCACCGATTACTGACAAAGGAAAGCATGAATTGGTCTGCATACTGTAGGACACATGCAGTGGTCTGTAAAAAGTATAAAGTTGTAAGATCTAAATTCAATTATAATGTTTGGAAAAAATACATAGATTAACAACAGTCCATTTTTATTGCTGTAGATTTATTGTGATATGAATGATGTTGACTCTTCTAAGTGGACAGCAAATAAAGTTTTGTATGTCCATGGCCGCCTCTCCTGGCAGGGTGCATGCTGTGCTTCGGTCAGTCGGCCTTTTTCCGTTTCAACCATCCCGAAGAGGCTCAGAGGATGAAGAGCATGCTACCAGAGGGGACCCGCGGGCTGAGTGCCACAAAAACACCATCTGGTAAAGATCCCATTTTAATGATTATTAAATGCAAACACCATTCCAACATTTCCTGTGATCCTAATATAAGGGTTGCACAGTTTGCTCAGCAGCTATTCTGGGCAGCGCAAATGCTTTGGGCACACAAACCACTTTGGAGTCATAATTTCCTGCTGTAAAAGTCAATCAGTTCCTGTTAATGTTGAATAGGTGCCTTACGATTTGACACTGTTTAGTTTAAAGTGATTAAGAGGCCGGATGTCTGGGTAGAATGACATTCAGACATCCAACTTTAGGTGGTTGCCTTTTTAAAATACCCACAGATCAAGGCTTAGATCCTTGTTAGTGAGATTTTAAGCAGTAAACAAAATCTGACTGAGATACTTGTTGCAAAAGTGAAAAAGTCAAACATTTTCAGCCCTGCTAGTCTTGAAGTTTGACTGAAATATTATTATCTTTGACAGGATGCAGAAATAGCTTGTTCAGAGCTAATTATCTGTGGCCTACATTGTGATCTACTCCACTTAAATCTGTGATTCTCGCTCAGTGTGTGACCTCGTTGCACAAAAAGATTGCTGTAATCTTTTCTTGCTTCTAATATGTCAGCTTTTACACTTACATTTGTGTTATGTTATACTACTCTGGACCACCGCCTACTGTAACTGCTGCCCTGTGCGCTAGGTGATATTTAGAATCTATTCTCCTCTGACCTTACTGCTCTGGCTGTCAGTGCCTGAACAGTAAGAGCCGCCACACCCTGCCCACTGTGTTCACTCTTTCCTGACCAAACCCTGATTTCATCTGCTCTGAATGAGGTACATGGCTGTCGATGTATATTTAGCTGCTTTGGATTCCTTTAGGATTGCAGCACAGCTAAGGAGCATCCCGACCACTGGTTCATACAGGAACCTATGGGCTCCAAGACATTTATCACTATTTAGCCACTATGTATGAATGTGCGTGTGCAACAACATGCGCAGGTCGGGTGTGTTTTTCCTTGTGTGGACTGACCCTCTGTGTCCTGCAGCCGTCCTGAGGCATGGTGTAGGTCAAAAGGACAAAGATGTCACACTGAGTGTTTATGTGTTTGCTCAACTGTCTTCTCCCTTTATTCAGCAGGAATGCTCATGCACAAGTGTTTCTGTCTTCCTCCTGCAGACCCCCATAAGGCTCTGAATGGGAACCATGACTCCAAAATTAACAGTATGGCAAAAACCTTGCAAGACTCTTTGGTGCTCAAGACTTCATCATCACCGGGGATTGGTAAACATCCCGTCCCAGACATGCTCAATGGAACTAGCAACTCCAAAATAGATGTCTCAATTTATGAGAACAGCAGCAGCTTCCTGGGCCATAACCTTGACAGCAAAACACCTGCCCGGTTACCTCATACCAATCACACCCCTGTCCCGCATCCACGGCCCTCACTCTCTGTGGCTGCAAGTGGTACCAGTGGAAGTCAAAAGGCCCAGGAGAGTCCAAAGCCTCTGAGGAACGCAAGGGTAGAGGCAACATCATGCCCCACACAACATATCAGGGGGTCAGGACAAAGCGCAGAAAACTTAAGCCAAAGCCACAAACCATCATCCATCAAGTTTTACCCAAAGACTCCGTCAAGCCCTCAATTAAGGGGTTCCACCCTACAGAAGAGATCCCAGAGCCCCTTGCGAGAGCAGGTTCAGTCTCTTTCCCATGTAGACATATCTCAAAGGGTCATTACTCCAGACTCGTCTGGGTCCACCGCCCTGAGGGTGCCCGGCAGAGGGACCTCAGGATCGCAGGGTTTGGCTCTGCCCCTTGCCTCACAGGGCTTTACTGCTAACCCCATCCTAGAGAGCCCCCAGGGCAACCGCAAACTCACGACTCCTTCAAAAGCAGAAGTCATGCGGGTACTGTATGCCCAGAGTCCATCACCACTCCCTGGGCTGGAGAAGGAGCAGGGAAGCAGGCAGTTAAGGCCTGCGCCAGGAAATGCCATGGTCTCAAGCTTAGGCTCTGCATCTGGCTTGTCTCCTATCGCTAGCCCTCATAGCGTAAGAAAGACTTCTTGTCCGACTGCCAAGGGATCATCCGGCAAGGACCCAAATCTTCCAAAACCATACACTCGGGAACGTAAAAACAGCATCTCTGAGATCAGCGACAATGAGGACGAGCTGCTTGAATACCATCGCTGGCAGAGAGAGGAGAGGCTGCGTGAGCAGGAAATGGAGAAACTGGTAAGTGAACATCAATACTGGTTTGGAGTTGTGGAAACAAGTATAAGTGCAGTGTTCAATCTCTTTTTAGCGGTGTTTGAATCTTGTTTGATTGTAGAAAGGAAACAAACGTATTTGGTTTATTTTCCACACTATGAACAGAGATCTTTAGCTTCATACACAGCAATAAAAACAACACAGGACTATGAATGAAGACTAAGACTACAGGGATAAGAAAGTGTATGACTATAAAGGGAATAAACACAGTTAAGTAGAAGAGGCACTGCTGGCATAGCAGACTCCATGTCTGCTTTCATGTCTTCTCTAAATCCTGTTGCATACTTCCAGCAGCTCATCTCCTCTGAGCATTACTGGAATGGTCAGCCCATGTGGCCCGAGTGACACGGAGTGAACATTCTTCCAGAAGTGTTGGGGTCCAGAGCGGAGGGTCGGGCTGGTTATTTACCAAGAGAATGAGCTGCTTTTACTTTCAAAGCTATCTGCGCTCGACTCAAGGTTCTTTCCTATTTGTACCCACACTCGATCACAGGTCGTATACTTGTAATCCATCTTCAGTCTACTCCTCACACACACCTCCCCCTACCCAACCCCCATACATCAGCCCCACCTCATCCTGCCGGCTTAGTGACAGCTGAAGCGACCACCGCAGCGGCTGGTCGCTGCCTGGCCTTCATGTCCGCACTCTATTTAAGGACCCAAAGGGTTTCTGGTAACAAATAAAATAGTTACTACTTGAGCGACTCTAGAATTGTGTTGAGTCACCTGCAGTGTCATGTGTAGACAACGTTGCCTACTACCCAAAGAGTTAAAGAACAGATATTTCTTGAACTGTGCCGATTAGTTTTTTTTTTTCCTTGTGATCTATATTTGAATTTATTTCTTTATAAGCCTGTCTTGTCTGGCAGCTCTTGGAATCAAAATCGGGATCTGAATTCACTATTGTGTCAAATATATTTGCTTTTCCAAAATGAGCACTATATACTCTCTTTAGGCTCCTCTTGTTCATTTCTGTTATTTTTCTTAAGTGCAAGTGTAATATGGCAATGCCGGGCTTGACAGGCATGAAGAAAGAGTAAGAAAAGGGCAGAGAAAGCAGGTGAAAAGACAGAAATAAGAGGACTTTACATAAGTGGAAAATCTATATCTATGTGTATATATATTTGAATTTAATTCCAGTATTTGACTTTAGTTTTTCACAAGCTAAAAGCAGTATCATTTGCTGTTTTGTCAAACACCTTCCTATGCAGAAGCTTTATGAAACTTTATGAAATTCGGACAGTTGTTCAGTACTGATTATAGAGCATACATTTTTAATGTATGATAACTGATGCAACTGAGTAATAGCACACATATAGAAATCATATGTTCTGACTCGACCAACCACTTTGTGACCATTTTAATAGGCAACTGTAATATTAACCAATTATTGTAAAGTCAGATAATAATTGTTTGGAGGTTTGGCTCATTAGCTTATTTGCATGAAGGCCAGTGTGGGATAAAAAGTGAGCCGGACTCTGATCAGAGGTTAAAAAGATTTTTTTGGCTGGAAAGGCTGGAAAAGTGCCTTAAGTGTAAACCTGGGTCCTACTAAGAATGAAAAGTTAAATTATGAGCTTTAGCAGTTTCTATTAGGTTTTTTTTTTCTTTTTACATTAATTTTTTGGGGGCTTTGATCTGCGTTGCCATGTGGTGTTTAGCAATCTCGCTTCAAAGCAAGTCCTGGGCTCAGACCTGCCTGTTATTTTTCTCTCGTTTCCCCCATAATCTGTAACTGCATGGGTTTTGTCCACGTGCCCTGGTTTATTGTCTGTTAGGTAAATTTATGACTTGTTTAAGCAAGAATGGTTGTCTGTCTTTGTGTGTCAGCCCTGTGATAATCCAGCTCCCTCCCAGTGTCAGCTGGTGATTCTCTCCTGCCCTCTCGTTTTTACCACACAGTCTTGGTTCTTTAGTAGAATGGCGCTAACAAACCCCACTGGCATGTAGAGAAACATTTTCAGGGCCTATAATAAGTTCTTGTTTTTTAGTATCGTAATCTTGTATTAAACCCTCAAACACACAAATTGCAGACCTGCTGGGACAGACAAAAGGAGGATATCCTCTCAGTAAAATACATTCCTATATTTGGCAAGCCACACTCTTGGCACAGTTGGCACAGATGCAGAACCCACCTATAGTTATAATATTGCCTGCACTTTAAAACCCCATTCTGCAGGTTATCTCTCAGGAAAAGCAAAGGGCATTGTCAGAGAGGAAGTAATGCAATAGAGAATTTAATTTTAGCACCGCTTCCACTGAGAAGTGGCCACAGGGTATTTTTGAGAGAGAGCTGGAGTTAATTGAGAAAGTTTCCTTTATAAGACATGAAATTCATGCATTTGCTTCGTTGGTTATAGTAACAACTCATACAGTCACGTGGAACAGAAAAGTACACACTTGTTCAATATGAAATGCATCGTTCTACAGTGAGGAAGATTATTCACCAGTGTAAAAACATTCAAGACACTTGCCATTCTTCCCAGGAGTGGAGATCATTGCAAAAAATTACCTCACGGACAATTATTGGATAAAATAATATAAAATATTACAATAATAAAAAACAACCAACAAGCATGGCTTCTGACAGTGGCCCTCATTTACTAATATTTGTGTGGAAATGTTGTTATAAAGTGCATATGCTAAATTTTCTTCGAGTTCATGAAATGTGGGCACTGCACACTGCCACACTCCCCATTTTTTCTTTATAATGAAACGCATTTACCTTTAGGTGAAGCAGACACCGTGGTGAAGTGGAGAAACTGGTCGCTTGTGTCCAAAGAAGAAGTTAATGAAAATCTAGATTCTCCAGCATCTGGAGATCTGAAAATCTAAGATATTTATGTAAATACACATTTTTCAGAATAACTGTGCTCCATGAGACAACATCTCAGAGGTATTAGAATAATTTGTATTGTGCCTACTGATGCAAATAAGGGTGAAACTAAGTAAGAATTAATGTTGAATATTCAACTTAAAACCTGCTTCACTATGCTCACTTGTATTAAAAATGTAATAACATATAGCTTTAAATAATTAGCGTTACAATCTATTAAACCATTTTATGGTTTACGTTGACTTTATATCTATATATTTAGCCCCTTTTCCTAATCTAAAATGTCATTTCATAGTTTTCATAGTACAGCTTTTTTCCTTCAAACAGTCTGAGGAGTAAATCTTGCAACAACAGAGCTGGTGGTTTTAAATGGCTGATTTTTTTTATGTAGCAGACAAAAGGAGAGTACAGGAAGAAGCACATTGGATACAATTGTACCTCGTATTGCCAGACGCCTCGCTGGAATGATGATTACATATTCCACATCATTTTAGTATTAAAGCAAACATGCTATTGTCTGCTGTAATGAGAGACAACACTGGGCCACAAGTTCAAACCATGTGAGATGATGCAGTAGGCAAAAAAATAAGTTTGTAAAAAAGTGCAACATCTACCGCAATACATTCATCCAGCACACACAGATCTTGCATTTTTGGGATTTCTTAGTTACAGCAGACTGTGTTTTCATAAACAACTCAAGCAGCTCAGACAGGTTTGACCAAGAAGCCCCCTCCCGAGAGACAGTCTGCATCAGCTTCAGCCCCGCTGCTATCGGGTTACCGTTGTCCCATGCCAGCGGCAGAGGGACAGCTGCCTAAATGGGACAATGTCACTCAAGGACACGAATCTATACAGTGATCTCTAATATCAGCCGTGCTTACATTTTGCATCTCTTCTAAAGGAGCGACAGAGACTGGAGACCATCCTGAATTTGTGCGCAGAGTATAATCATGAGGACGGCTCTGTGGAGCTGGTGAAGAGTGGTCTGCTGGGTGCTGGTAGAGGACTTTGTTCGGACTTGGGAGGTGGGATGGCTCTCCTGGGAGACGGCCGAAACCAGAGGGTGAGGGAGAACGACGAGGAAATCCAGAGAGAGGAGTCTAGCAGCACAGAGAGCACGCACCAAGAGGTAAAATACACATCCTAGTGTTAAATGATGTGGCTGATTTGAATTGTGTTATTTTTATTAATATGTAAATCTGCACTCAGTGTGAAGAGCTGTTAGCCGGACAGGAGGAGATTTACCTGGAGGAGGAGAGGAACAGGATCCTGGCCAGGGTTGATGATTTGAAACACAGAGTCAGTGAGCTGGAGCAGCAGCTACAAGAGACCAAACATGAGGTCAGCAGGCACACATGTACATTGACGTTTATAACCATTAATGAAATATTTCACCTTTTAGCTTGCGTGCTCTTAGATCAACTCACCAATGCAGTAAGAGGAGCAGAAGCTCTTTATGGTATTTGTTGACTTGCAGACTCTGACTCCATATTTGTCTGTAGGTGGAGATGGAGCAAGCCCTGCTGCAGGCAGAGCGGCGGGCAGAGCAGGAGCAGGTGGAGGCTGAAAATGAAATAATCTCTCAGCTACAGCTCAAACTCAACCAGCTGGACAAGGCCACCCAGAAAGAGAAGGACAAGGTGGGCGTAAATCCAGTAGGCGTTGATTTTACATGTACAAACTGCATGTGAATAACATGTTCTTGAACCTCCGCGTCTGAACACGTGAATCTCACTCATTCATCATGAATATGCAAATATTCTAGATACACTAAAATCTACATATAGACAATCTTGTCAACTGACTTGCACTGCTTATGTCGAAAGCACAAGAGACACATGCACACATCTTTTTAAAAAACACAGAGTAAAAGGACAACTTGAAGTCTTGCCAAATGTGATCAAAAGTGCTTATGAGATATGCAGAAGCTCTTTTAATTATATTTAATACTTACATTTTACCAAATGCGCTAAACATCTTAAATGCATAACACCTCTGCTTGGCCTAACCTCTGGTTCCTCTAAATCTTCTCTAACTTGCCTTGATTACCAGTTAGCCTCCAAGCCTAACTGCATGAATTTGAGTTACCCGTGATTTTATTTTTCTCCTTGGTGTTGTACGTGTCTGAATGCGGGCATAACTGTGTGCACGTATGTGTGTGTGTGTGTGTATTTCTGTGTGTTTTTAGGGGAGGGCTAATGTGTCGGCTGAGCGGAAGGCCCTGGAAAAGCAGAGGAATGAGTACAATGAGCTGAAGAGGCAGTTTGATAAGTGCCCCTTGTCTCTAAGGGAACAGTTACAGGAGCAGCTCAGCAGGGTCAGTGTTCTCACGCAGCCCACAGGCTGGCAATAGTGAGTTATAATATACAGAATACTGCAATACTGCACAGAAGCGACACTGACTCTGTCTTGAAGCACTCAGAACTACTCATAAGTCTGTGCATTTCCTCGTTTTCTCTTGTGCTTCATTAAATAAACCAGGTTTATCATGTTAATGTTACCTGTAATCGTCAGTGCACAAAAGGAATCTCATTCAGCAGGTTTTAGTCTGCTGCTTATTCGCTGCCATTCCCTCATTCTGGATGCTTGACAATGTCAGTCTCAATTAGTAATAAATATTAATATTATTAACAGCTTTGCTCTAAAATGTGCTTGCCTTCTGGTAGAAAATGAGTTCGAAAACCTTGAGTAATTTTCACTCAAACCCAATTTAATTTCAACTCCAGTGTGTCGCCTTGCCTGTGCCACTTTTGTTAATGAATTCAATGAAAAGACTAAAAAAAAAAAGCAGGTTGTTATACTAAAAAGAAGACCCCCCAACTTTGCTACACATGCTAGTCAGCTAATGAGTTGTAAGTTGTTTAAACTGTTCACTTACGTCTGAGACGTTATGCTGGGAGCCCTCAGTAGCCGAGGCAACCTTTAGTGAGCCAGCAGCCCCTTCTATTGGACAGCAACAATATTTAGTTGCTATCCTGCAAGAAAAGAAGGCTGCTAGTGCTAACGTTGCTAACTTTAGCCTTAATTTAGCTAACCAATATGGCATTGTGTGTGGGTATGTGCAAAGTTATGTGTGGAAGTATCACCAGGATTTAAAATACAGTCAGGTTTTTGAAGAATGTGGTTTAATAGTCCATAAAAACTATGCTACATGTTTTCTCCTGTATGGTCAGCTAGAAAATGACTTTCCAGGAACATCGACAGAAAGAACCATTACTTACACAAAAGTAAGTAATGGTTCTTATTAAGTACAGTATTAAATAAGCAAATAGAAAAGGTTAAAGGGGCAAAGACCGTTTCTGTGCTATGTTTTTTTTTAGCAAGTGGTGGTCGGTGAATATTTTCAGCTGCTGATTGATTTTCAGCAGTTTATTCCTTAAACTGTATTTAACAGATGCACCTAATCTACAGGTAACACTGATTCCTTTATAAATTCCTGTTTCTGAAGCCTCTGCTTAGGAGTTTTAGGTGGTCCTATCTTAGATTTTTGAAAGCAGGCATAAAGGAGGTAGCTCGCTGTGAAACAAAAACACACTGCATGCTGATACATTAGAGAATTGTTTACCACAAAGTAGCTCGCCTAAAGCATACATTATCCTTTCTGAATCTAATTGGGGCTGTGTTGTTGTATTTTGTATTTACCTAGTGATTGGGACCATAAACACTTAAGTGAAGTGTTTACTGAGGTTATAGATCATGTGAGTGATAGATATACTTTACATGAAGTTTGTTTGTTTTTGCAGTTAGAGAAGTCACCTCCTGCTGGTTTTTGGAAATATTGCAGGTTTAGACCAGAAGCTACATTCATCTTTTACATGCACTGGATTGCTGCCAGATAATGCATTGGCAAATAAACAAACATGTTGAAAATAAAAAGAAATGTGTCAATCAAGGGAGTAACATGTGCCAAGTTGTGAATACATAGTTATTTTTTTTGGTCTTTTCATTGTCATTTTATTAACAAAAAAACTACATAGGATATGACCAGCCTCACCCTTTAATAGCTACATTTCACAGATTTCAATAACTTCTCTGTTTGTGCACAGAAAGCTGAAGCTCTGGAGTCTGGGACCAAGCAGTTTGAGGAGCTGGAGTTCTGCCAGCTGGAGGAGGAGAGCCGTCTAGAGGAGAAGAAGGAAGCTCAGAGCTCACAACTGCTCCATGAGCGAGCCGAGTATCACTGCAGCGTGGCCAGGAGGAAGGTGGGGATACATGGCAGAAAACATGCACAGTTTTTGTGTAGAAGCTGACCTCCAGAAGAAGAAACTGGTTGTGTTGATTTGCAGGAAAAGATGGCTGCTCTGGAAGCTCAGGTAAAGCAGCTGGGGTTACAGGCATCTCAAGACTGTGAAAGGCTGGCAAAGGACAGGACAGTGACTTTGCATCTGTTACAAAAGGTTAGCCTGTCACTGTTCAATAACCTACTCTAAAGTGCATTGCGTACACATCATATGGTGATTCAAACATGCAATTATAACTTGCTACACAACACCTGAATATCCATGTTGGTTCTGGCTTTCAGGAACAAGACATGCTGTGCGCCCTGGAGAAGAAGTACCACACGCTGACAGGAGGGAGAAACTTTCCAAAGCCCGGTGGCAGCAGCAGCATGAAAGAGGTGAGCAGGTACATGCGAAGCATCACGTCACAACCACCAGTGGTGTCTGAGCTGGAGGAAAATTACTGCAAAGTGGAACTTTTTTTTACTCAGGTCAACTTTTTAAACAGGAATTGCTTCACATCAGCGAGCCCGACCTTATTTATGTGGATGGTTCTCCTCATAGTCCCTGTCCCTCCTCTGCCTCCTTCTCCTCCTCATCCTCTCACATCCCCTCCCCCGAGCTATATCCTGTCAGGCTACAAGAGGTAAATCTCGAGAGAGCCTAACAGATCCTAACTCTTGTGTTTCTGCAATTTAAAAAAAAATGGGCATGACGGTGTGTGGTAGCGTTTACTGACAAACAGCAGCGAGCTTGCAGTGTGTTTGTCAGTAGGTCAACTTTCTGCCTTTCTCTACATCTGCCCTGTGATTGTTTGAGGCTTGCAAGACGAGCTTTGGTGGTTAAACTGTATGAATGTTAGACATTCATTTCACAGACAGTGGGGTAGTGGAGTGTGTTGAAACATCGTCGGGTTTGCTTTGTGAGTCTTTTGAATTAAGCGAGTGCCGCTCCTTCAGCCTTCTTCTGCTGTGGCTGTCGATGCAGGAGTACCTCAGGATGTCTGATGTCTATAGGATGTATGGAAATGCTTCTCTGCAGCCTCACTCTTCCTCTCCTGCTGCTCTCCACTGCCTCTCCCTCACTGTAACTCCAGCTTTGCCAACTGAGGTAGATCCCTTTTCTGCTCTTTGCCATACTCTGATATGTTTCTCCGATATGTCATAGTACTAAAACCAAGCAAAGTATACTAACATTTCCTCCAGATGTCTTTCCTCACCTTCTGCTCTCTGCTCATGTTCCGATTTGTTTTGTGTCTATGTCATGCTTCTATGTCTGTGTAAAGGAGTACATCACAGTCAGTCAGTTAAGTCAGATCTTTGGGATGCAGCGAGTCGATCCCTCCTCTTCCTCTTCCTCTATGCCAGCATTCCAACTCGCCTCCTCTGAATCCACCTTCTCATGCCACACAACTGCACGTGGTCCTTCCTCCTTTCTCTCTGCACAGGTTTGTTCATTTGCAGCCATCCACCGAATTGCTGAGATCTTCGTTTCTGTCCTAGCTTGATATTATCACAAGGACTAGCCTGTAGTCTTTTCTACCTGTCTGATGCTTCTGTTAATGATGCTGTTGCTCTGCTGCTCCCTTTTTCCTTTGCCTGAACGCTTTACATCACCGCAGAGCCAACCTGAGCTGAGCAGGAATGCATTGCCTCCTCTTAATCTTGAGCGCTGGTACCAGGAAATCATGGCAGCTGGAGAGCCTCAGCCATGCCCTCCACCACTGCCTGCAAAGTCTTTTGCCACACGCAGACACGGGCAGGTAAATTCACTTAAGCTCTCCGGGCACCTTTTAGAGTCTTGCTAAAGGGCACTAAAGCAATATAGATGTCATTAGTTACGCCACTGTTCATATATTTAAGACTAGAAAGCCCTCTAGTGGGGAAAAGGGTTAAGGTAACAATCAATGCTTTCAGACAACATATGAGCTAAATTAGGATGGGACAGAACAAAACATTTATATACTTAATTTAATGAGTCACAACACAAAACACAAAGTACACCATGAAAATCAACATCTTGTTCAACTGCAGGTCACAAAATGCTAAACTGAAATCAAAGCATTCTACATTTATGAACTTATTGAGTAAGCGGTTTTTCCTTTCTCAGCTGTCAAAGTCCAAATCAGAAGGTGAAGTCGGACAGGTTTCATCAAACAGAAGCACCACGTTGTTGCCACACTCCAGTGGTGCTACACAGGAGAAAAATGCTTCCACAAAGGTCAGTTTCACACAGCTGAACTGTAATCAGTAAACTGTAAAGTCTACTCCACCTGATGCTTTTGATGTGTTTCTTAGGGGTTGCACTTAGCGCTGAGAGAGATGTCAAACCCACTGGAGATGGACTCCAGGAGGCAGTTGGCTTTGCCGAGCAGAGGTAACAGAGTCTATCAGTCCATGCATAGTCTCAGCTTGTGTGTCCACTGTCATGATAAAGACTACAAGGTGTGCACTGCAATTCTGAGCTACAAAACGCCCCGTAGCCACGTTTACTGTATTCTGGGATGCAGCAAGGTACTAGAGATGTGCAAAGGTTGCAAAGCAATTAGTGTAAAAACTCCCTTATTGTTTTACGCCCATAAATTGTTTGTACGCGCCTTAATGTGCTAACTGATAACCTAGAATTACACCTTCTCATACAGGTATTTTAATTTTTCTCTAAATAAAACAAACAATTAGAGAAAACTGATGAAGGCCATAACGTTTAAATTGCTTCAGAACAGCTCTTCACAAACCAGTAGGTGATGTCACAGTGGCTATGTCCATCTTTGACTACAGTTTATGGTGGGGCTGTGTTTTTCTGTGTCCTTGGTGTCTGGATGCGATTTTCATCTAAAAGTAGCAATGACCTGTCACCAGCAGTAGAGGGTGGTGTAAGTCTGTCACACGTTACTCTGTGTCCTCTCTGCCTGCACAGATACATCTCCCACAGTCCATCACGCCATCTTGCATCACCAGCTGCCACCCAGTGGCAACCAGGCGTATGACACCCTGAGTCTGGAAAGCTCAGACAGCATGGAGACCAGCGTCTCCACCGGCAACTCCGCCTGTACCCCAGAAAGGTGAGAGGCTGGCTCTGTTTCCATGGGAACACTCAAGTCTGCCCTGTCTCTCAGGAGAGGGGTCACTGCTGCTTTGTTCCCGTGACAACATGTTTTCTTACACGCCTGCTCACGTGTCTCCTAGGTACACTGACTGTTGCTATACCAGCCAGCTCTAGTTTCCAGTTATTTTGTGAAGTTAAGTTTACTGATGTTAATGACTGTGTCTCGCTCTCCTGCTGTTTCCAGTGTTTGTTTCCACGCACGTCTGTTTGCTTTTTGTTTTTTGTCATCAAATGCTCCTTTATTCTGTGTCTTGTAGCGCCTGTGGCTTAGAGGCCCAGAGGATAGAAGAGATGGAAAAGATGCTGAAGGAAGCGCAGCAGGAGAAAGCCAGACTGATTGAGAACAGAGTGAGTTCCCAACTTTTAGTTCTGGCATAAAAAAAAGGCTCCATTTTTAACATGGCTGTACATCGGAATCCTCTTTATTTCAAAAGCTGGAACAAACAGTCACATCCATTAATCGTAGGTAATATTGGTTTAAATAATCAGCTGTTTTTGCCCTTTTTAAAAACTAAAAATCCTTAAATCAGATATGCGGGAGTTATTATAGTTTTTACATTTTTCTATTGTTTATGTATTTTTTGTTTCCAGATAATTTTTTTTCAATTCAGTTGTACTGTTTTTACTCTCTAACAGTCTAGTTCATTTTTTTTATTAAACAAGATTGTTAGTTTTCCCATACACCCAGTTTTTTTTAGTTTAGTTGTCTTTATAGCTCCAGTAATCTTGCTTACACTGTTGCTCAAAAACAAAAACAAAAAAATCAGTGTCTGTGTCTGTCTTCTTAGCTGCTGGAAATTACATCAGTTTTAAAAAAAATGTTATTATGTTCAATTACCGCGTAAACAAAATGATTAATTGATAAGAAAATAATTGGCAGCTGATGAAATTAATGACAACAGTATCAGTATTTGCAGCCCTTGTTTCAGCTGACAGACCTGAAACAATCACCTCCTCTCTGGCATAATAAACACTGCACAAGTGAAGTGTATTTATGCTATTTTTAGCTATGAGCATGTAATCTATCTGCAGTATGAAAGTAACAGTAATTAGTGTTTGTGACAACTATTGAAACGTGACTTTACAGCCAGGGAAACATAATAATTCCTGGTTATAGCTGGAGTCAGTCCAGTGCTGTATGGATAAAATGACTACATTTATATGGAGATTTTTCTAGTCCTGTTTACACTACAAGCCATGTTCCTTTTGCCTATTACACACAAACACAATATATCATATCATATCATATGCAAAATAATTACACAGTCAGCTCTGACACATTGTATCAAAAAAAGAATCGCATCTTACACTAAATTAAAATAGTTTTTGAAAAAAAGTACAGTTCTTATGATATCACTGATCACAGATTTTGTAAAATAAATAAATGACTGCAATCGCCAAATATTCCAGTTCCACTGAGAGTCAACACATTCCAACTTTGAGCTATTGCAAAACCTCTCGTGTGGCTCTCGCTCAGCAGATAAAAACCTGCCTGTACAAAGTGATCAAAGTGATCAAAGTGATCGGTGAACTTCAGATGTGGTGAAATGAAGTTGTAATTATTGTGTTTACCTTTGTATTATTTCCTCATGTGGAAACAAAGTAGACCCATATGTAAGTTTCTGAAAGCTGCAAAGGATCATTTTACATCAGCAAAGCTTACTTTTCCATACACAGACTTAAGGGATATATTTTACAAAACCCTGGATTGGGACTTGAATTCTCACGAGCATCTTCTGACAGTCATTTTCTTTGTATTGCAATATTTGCCTACCATTAACATATTCTCCCCGTCTCCCTTTTCCCCATTATTTTTTCTTCTCTTCTCTCCATCTGCGTCTCTTTCTCCTGCCCCGACGCTCCCAGGAGAGGGAGGTGCAGGCTCGGCGGCAGATGTTAGAGGAGGAGCGGAGGAGGCGAGAGGAGGCCGAGAGGAGGCTTCAGGACGAGACGGCCCACAGGCAGAGGCTGGTGGAGGAGGAGGTGAAGATGAGAGAGAAGCAGTTCTCCCAGGTCAGTGGAACATAGGGAGGAGACGGGCGGCGGGAAGAAAAGAGAGGAGAGGAGACGAGAGGGGAGGAGAGGAGGGGTTAGGAGACTTGGGGGAGAGGATGAGAGACGAGACACTAAAGAGAGGCTGGGTATATATGAAGATCAAAGATTGTCAAGGAAGGGAGAGACAGGGGAAACAATGGAGGGGAGGGTGGAGAGAGAGAGTGTGGAAGAACAGAGGGAAAGTTATTATTGGAGTTGGTGTGAGAATGATATACACATAATTCAAGCTTTAATCCCGGCTGATTATCAGTGTTTATCAGCGTCCGTCACAGCAGACTCGATGAGAAACACATCAAGATCAGGCTGTTGTGAGCTGCAGGCTTTGATCTTGCTCCTGTAATGACTATTTTTAAAAGAAAAACCGATTAAAAGCCAAACTACAAACAGTTATCACCCGGCCTGTCTATCAGCATCATATTTGCATGCATGAAACAGCTGTTTCAGCAAAGAAAAAAAAAAAGCTCTGATAAACAGACTGTACACTACTTCCTCGGTGCAAAATGTTACTGTCAGACAATGGTAGCATCCATCCAGTGGGCGATTTAGCAGCTAAGCAGCCAGATATTTCTTTAGCAGTTGGTAGACGGCTAAAAAAGAAGTGAGTAGTGGATTTGCCAGGCGGACGATCATGGTGCCAAATGAATGCTAATGTTGCCTTGAGTCTTCTGGATGTGCAAAGAGCCAACTATGTGTCTGAACACATTTAAGTTTGATTTATTTATAAAACCCAATATCACAAATTTCCACACACAAATCTTCACTTGGAATTAAACAAGTTCCCTTCCAAAGACCTTTAATGATAACAGTATTTAATACCACACTGTATTGTTTTAGGATTGTGGTTATAAAAATCAGATAAGCTGCAGGTTTAATTCACAATGACGTTTAGTTTGATCTGAATTCAGGAACAACAAAAATGTAGTATAGCCTCGCTCTTAATATTGATTAGTAAGCAAATTACCAGTAAGCACGTGTATTCAAAAAGCAGGATCTTGTTTCCTCACAGCTTTGAAAGAAAATCTTCCAGTTATCTCATGAAGTCTTGGGTCAAAAAAAGCAATTCTGCTGATTATTTCCAGAATTTTAAAAAGCAGCACTGACGCAGTGTCTGGGTTTTCTTTACAGGCCCGTCCAATGACGCGCTACTTGCCGAACCGCAAGGAGGAGTTTGACCTGCGTGCCCATGTGGAGTCATGCGGCCACAACATAGACACCTGCCCCTTTGTCATCCTCACTGAAAAAATGTGCAAGGGCCACTTGGTGAAGATGGGCGGCAAAATCAAATCCTGGAAGAAACGCTGGTTCGTTTTTGACCGTCTCAAGAGGAACTTCTGTTATTACGTGGGTGAGGACTGAACGAGGAGAGGTTTTCCCTCAAACAATGGTTCATTTTATTGTATTTAATTATTGAATAACATCACAAGAAAGCCGAGCCTCAGTTATTTAAGTCTTTTGCAAGAGAGGTCTGCGAACAGAGCACATGTATTCAAGATAAAGAGTCAGACGAAACCATCATTGCTCTCTAGATATGATTTTAAAAATCACAGAAATGTTTGAAAACTAATATCTCTTTGTGTTGCAGTATATTATAGCATTAAAGTACACTGATATTTCCAGCTCAGAGTTGGCAAAGTGGACTTTTGAAGCTCATCTGCCCTGTGATCTAGTGCCCCATTAAGTGTGAATTCAGCTATCCAATTTATAATGAAGCTTTTCTTCAAGTGTGCTCGCTCAGTTTCACACACGCAGTGAACGCAGGCGCCCTCAAGGTACTTTTAAAGATAAAAAACTGCTCAGAGAAAAGAAAACACTGAAAAAAAGTGCACAAAGGGGAGGTATAGTTAAAGACTATTTTAAAACTTACAAGCTCTTTGTTAGAGCAGAAATAAAAAGAGACACACCAAGACATTGCATCACATAAAAAAGTGACTGACAGAGATAGAAAACACAGCTTTCAGTATGGCATCAAACTCATGAAACCATTAAAAAATATATAATGGCTGTACTGGCATGATAATGGTACAATGATACAGTCCAGTCACTGCGTACCCTCTTAAGCTTTATACTTTCTGATTAAATTCCTGCCCTTAAAGATGATTTCTGGTCATGCAATGGTAGATTTTTTTGTTCACTCATACTGTCTTCCAGTTGTCTTGCTGTGCATATAAGATGGAAAACAGAAACAGAGACACGTTGAGGCAGTCCTCACTGATATGCACTGTTACAATTAACATGTTTATTCATGACTTTTTTAAGCTTCTTTTTGCAACTGGCAGGATGTTTTAAAAGATGTTTTAGAGGTTTGAAAACGGCATGGAGTCACTCCTGAGTGTAGCACAGCACCATTATTCATCACTTTGTTTTTTATAAAACATTTTTGTTGACTCCAGTTTTTCAGTTTCTTTTAAAATTGCAGACACAGCCTGCTTGTAGGATCTGTCCAATCAAATTGCACTTTGTCTTTCAAAGTACACTTCAGTATCTTCACATGGCACTTCAACAGCAACTAAAGTGAAAAACTTTCATCCACCCTTTCTTCTTGCTCCCGCTGAGCTCTGTTAAACACTACTCAGTGCTTTCATCACCAACAAAACTTCACAGCATGAAGGACTAACAGGATGACTCTATGTCTCTGCAGAAGGATCACATTGTGTCAAGTTAGCCTCTAGCCTCATTCACGGAAAAAACTTTCAGCATTAAGTGATCAAACTACCCCTCTGTTCCTTATTTGGTAGAAAGGTTCCTTACTGTACACCAGACCCTGACCTGATTTATCCAATTCACCCCACAGCAGTGCAGAGGCTCCTCTGAGAAGCACACATGAGTGTAAAAGTGTCCCAAACACTTCTGTGTTGATTCACCTGCAAGCGAATGCTAATTAAAGCCGCTCCTAAGTGGAGTTCTTCGCCTCGTTCCTGTGCGTTGAAACCGAAGCCAGTTTGTAATTGGCGTCTATCAGACTGCCCTCTGAATTCGAATTGAGAACAGTTCGTTTTCTGAATAATTCACAAGCGTTTTTGAGCCATTATTTTACAGTCAAGTTCAAAATAGAACCCGAGTGTGTTTTCATTACCCCCGTTCTCTTTGCTCCTCTCGCTCTCCCCACTCACTTGCCTAGCCTTTTCACCCCCTCACTCCTGACGAAGATGATGGTGATGACGGTGATGAAATAAGATGCAATACTTTCTCTGGATGTGTTTTTCTTGGGGAGGAGGCTAGCTCCTGGCTTGTTCGTGACTAATAAAACGAAACTCACATTTCAAAAACATTTATCTCATTACTAAGCAGATTTGACTTTATGGAAAAGGAAAAGCAAGAAGAAGTGCCGGACGCATTTCAAAAGACCGCTTTTAATTGTTGGTGGATGTTTGGTTCTCAGTTGGGCATTCCAGTTTGCATGAAAGAGACTGAATGAAATAGACCACTGTTTATTTGAACAAGACTGGAATCCAGAAACTCTTTTAGCAGATTTTATTTGAAGAACTCCTTCACACTCAACGGCGAATAGTTTAGCCCCAAACTAGAAAAAACCATCAACGTGCCGACTGTGTCTGATGAGCTTCATATGCAGGTTTCACTTAGTGATTTTAAAACGCTTAAAGCCATCCTGTGGGTACAGAACACAAATCCAAAGGACTGGACAGAAGGTCTGACCTGCTTCAAGGGAAATGTTGAACAGAAGGATCAAATGTAGTATTCAAAAGAGACTTTCCTTTTAAGATTTATAAAAAATTCTTAACCTCGCCAGGAGGGAAAAAAAAAAAAGGAAAACACAGACACAATCCAGAAAGTACAACTGAAGAAAACAAGTCAAATTAATAGGATGGTAAAGACTTCAGGCATAGCTTGAAATAGACTCCCACTTTTAATTAACTTTTACTCTGATACGGCGCTGCTCATACCTATTCATGGATTATGTGTTGCTGGGAAAAAAACATTAAACACCTTTTTCCTCATTTTTGCCTGATTTCTCCATCTAGATTTAAGTTATAGGACTAGGATAAGAGAAAAGGTCATAATTTCTGTGTAAGGTGATCCAATGCAACAAACAAACCCCACACTTTAAAAAATATCTGGCTTTTACTAATAAATTGCTTTGAGCCTTTGAATTAAGTTCTATTAAGTCAAGTGCTTGTTAAAAAGAAAGATGGAAAAATGTACCAAAAACTTCTTAATAACAAAAAGGAGAATCGTGCACATAAAACCTAAGGGCTCAAGGAATCAACATGTACATCTACACTGTGAATTTCCCATACTTTTGTATTTATGGTGTATTATGGTTTTATGTAATTTTATAAAATCAGCAAGAGCTACAAACTCTCAGTTTCGGGCTCCATTCTGAAACTATGTTAAACTTAAATATAAATTACCAACAGATTAATTTCTGCATTTTAGAGTGAAGACAGTCTTAAAGTCACACTAATGTAGTTTTTTTTTTTTTTTTTTACAGCTCAGTCTTAGCTTGAATGAGTTGCTATATCATTTAGCTTTTATGCTCCCTGATCCTTCAGCCATCCGCGTTTCTGCTGGGACTCACAGTGTACTCACCCCAGTTATTTATTTTATTTATATTTAGTCTTTCCTATATTAGGATTGAATGGCTAAAACATGAAAAATAGACCACATATTAAAATGTGAAATGTATTTTCAGTCACTGAATGTCTGCCCTCGTCTTCAGGTGAGAATAAACACAATCGGTCCATTCATATTATCACCGATGTATCCTTGGCTGATTCTGCCGTAAGGCGCTTGGGCTGGCAGAGGTCTTGCATCAGTACAAGATGTAATGTAATGTCTTTTAATATATTTATTTTCCTTTTCTCTCTCTCAGACAAGCATGAGACCAAGCTGAAAGGGCTCATTTACTTTCAGGCGATTGAAGAGGTTTATTACGATCACCTACGCAGCGCCACTAAGGTAAACACTCCTTTGTCCATTACTTACAATTCAGAATTTCATTGACTACTCTTAATATTTTGCATGCATGATAATCAAGTATAAATTCATGAAAGGACTGGGTGGATTTGTGTGTGATGCGCTAAACTCCAAAACAACGCTTTATACGGCGTGTTTTTTAAAATCGCAGCCATCATTTTTAAGTACAGATTTTAAATTAGATACATTACTTTACATTATGTTACATTATTTTAACAAGCAATACTGCCTTTAAAAAAGAGACTGCAACTTAAGTATAAAGCAACATTTCTGTATAACTTTGATTTTTTTGTGAGCAGAATTAAACTGTGACAAATATCTGCCTTTTGAAAATTTCAGGGGATCTAAAGGTTCAGATAAGACTGGAATATTTTTGTCATTCTGTCATTATTTCAACTTCTCCCACAAAAAGTTCACCATGCTCAGGTTATTTTTCTTTTAGTTTACTTTTTGTTTGAAACAGACTACAGCCAGAGTTTGGTTTAACAGTTTTAACTCACTTTTATATTTTTTGTTGTTCTGAAAAAACGTCTGGAAAAAGCAACAGGTGCAGCTTTCAGTTTTTGCTCGATAAAATCCCCCTCCTCTTTGATTTCACAGAGCCCCACTCCATCTTTGACCTTCTGCGTGAAAACTCACGACCGGCTTTACTATATGGTGGCCCCGTCCCCTGAGGCCATGAGGATCTGGATGGATGTCATAGTAACGGGTGCAGAGGGCTACACGCAGTTCATGAGCTGAGGGACCACTGGGTGAGCGATCTGGTTGATGTCGGAAAGCGAGCGAGCACCCAGACACCTGCGAGCCAACCTGAGCTGCTCCCTGCCGCAGCCGGGACTGGAATCAAACAGCTTGACAGCGTGCAACGGATGGACTTGAGCAGATGCCTTTGAGCAGATGAGGGCTCACTCATGACAAGGGTGCATTTCAGTGATTATGAGAGTTGTATTTATCTTTCACCTAGCTGTGTGAGTAGAAGGAAAAAAAACACTTTGAGTAGCCTGCCAGTAGATTCACGAGGGACTTCTCAGCAACATCAATCACATTCGAGTACCAAATGTACTGTTAATATTTACAATACAATACTTTATTCTTACTTTATATAAGCTCAACCTGTTTACACCTTTGAAGCCGATCTATGCATGCAGTTTTATCACTCTAACCTTTTTGATACATTTGTACTTTTTCCCTTTGTTAACTTTTCTCATATTACAAAATAGCCTCTCAGTATGAAAAAACAACAACTATACAGTAAAAACAACTTACAAGCAGCTACTCTGAAACATATTATTGAGACGCATATTATTTGGTGCCAAATACTTGTAATGCTGTGCAAGATTTGTTGTTTTTTTTTGTTACACAAGTGTTAATACCACTTTATGTATTGTTCCAGGAGCTTCTCATTTAGGCTAATAACACAGCTTTAATATGTCTGTATTTTACATAAATACCCTATGTCAAGTTAAATTCTAATAATATGATTTTAATAAGAATCATAAATTATATAACAGGATTGTAAAACTACGTGTAATAAACAAAACTATATGATGTATCTTTTGTTGCTTTTTGCCTCATAAAGCACTACGCTGCTGACAAATTGCCTAAACTGGATGCATTCAGTTAACACTTCTTCCTTAATTAACTTGTCTCCCACACAAGTTAATTACCAGCTTTCTATAAATAAAACCCGCACGCTCCAATTTGTTGCTTACATTCACAAAGGTGTTCATTTTTAAAACGTTACAACGGGTCTATTTACATGAGAACAATCAGGTGGTTTAATGAGTTAAATTGGCTCGTTAACTCTGATCAAGTACAAAAGAAACACTGAAGCCGTATTTTTTGAGTTGGTATTTTTGGGGCAGCGTAATTAATTATATCGCTCACTTTGCACTAGGTGGGAGACATGGAAATGAAAAAAGGAAAAAAAACATGAAGGGAAATTACATGTGACTTTACATGCATGATTCAATATTAAGAAATTTCAAATCACGTACTATAAAACCATGTTCATGAAGTTCCCACAAAGTGGGCGCTTAAGAGTAAAAGTTCCACACATCCACACAGTGGATCTTCTCGTGTTCAAATTTTCTAAAGGTGCAAGTGCAGATTACTATTTACCTGTGACAGGGCGGTATGATTAATTGACTCCAGGGACCAGGGGGATATTCAGCAGATGTGCAGGTAATCAGGGAAACACACCTTGCTGCTGACAGGTACTGATTCGATTCAGCACTTGAAATGTTAATTCTTAATTTCTTGGTCTGAAGTGAAAAACATGTTGTGTGCAGCGATGTCGACTGAAATGAGCACCCTCGGTTTAATGCAGCCAATGATTCCTACTAATAACTGCTGCCGCTTCACTAATATCATTCACACCATTTGCATTTGGCTGACCTTGGGAGAGATTTTCACACATCGTGCCATTCAGTACTTCTGAGTCTCTGCTGTGCCCAGCTGAATAATAAACAGATCTTTAAGAGGGCAGCGCTCGCTCATTACCGTGGTGACGAGCAAGAGTGACACCCAGCCTTATTGTTGGTGAAATATTAATGAACCAGGGGGTGATCTCCCCACATTCTCCAGCTCACACTGTTCTTTTTCCCAAGGCCTTTATCACACAAATGAGGGCGTCGACGCTGTGAATTAGCAAAGGTCTTACACGATTTTGTCAATATTAATAGGAGATATTAGCCTCGTCTCAAGACAACCGAAAATATCTGACGAAATGAAAACATCTGTCAGCTCAGGGGGAAGGTTTTTTAGCATCTCCTGTCAAAGATCTCCACTCTCACATCCCTCACAACACTTCAGCGCAGGCATTTGTAATTTATAAGTTTTCATATCCACATGTGAGTTCAGATTAATTTAGGAGATTAAAGCGAAAAATCTCCTGCCCAACCCCTAACACACTCCCCCCTCTGCACACACGCAGGCTCAGACATCACACATGAAAGCATCCTTCACTAAATGCATCTGATACACTGGCGAAAGTTGCACTCACAGTGTTTACTGCTTTGAACAAATCATCTTCGCTTTCTTTGAAGGGGATGTAAACCGACAGTTATTAATTCAAAAACAGGCTACACAATAGATACAAAGCATTTGATTACATTGTTGTTGTTTTCTCTCTCTCTCCAGATTTCACAGCATGCACAGCACAATGTGTAAAAAATATCCAGAGGGGAAAAGCGCCAATGTTGACCTAATGAGGACAACAAAAACAGAGACACACCACAACGGCACCCCCACTGTGGGGTAATAATTCTTTGTATTCTGATAACTAAATAAAATCACACTTTACATGTGCATTGACTTTTTGATAATCTGAGATATAAAAGAAACTGTATATACACCCATAGGTAACCCTTTTCAATTGCTTGCTAACCCACATATCTGATGAACCAATCACATGGCAACATCTAAATCCATTAAAACTTTTAGACATGGTCATGAGAGCTTTAAGTTTAAAGTGAGCATCAGAATGAGGAAGAAAGGTGATGTCAGAGGAAAATAGCCAGGTTGCTTCAATCTGAAAGGAAGGCAACGGTAGGGCTGTG